TGTGGGGAAAATCTTTAAAACAAAGTTTTGAAATGTCATTGTATACAGGAACAAATAAAAGAGGGGCAGGCAACTTCTCATCAAAAATTTTGCAAGCCTAAAATCAATGCACAGAAATCAGTTGCATTTCTATACAACAACGCCAAGACAGAAGAAAGAGAAATTAAGGATTCGATCCCATTGCAAACTGCACCCAAAACCATAAGATACCTAGGAATAAACCTAACCAAAGAGGCAAAGAATCTGTACTCAGAAAACTATACTTATGAAAGAAATTGAGGAAGACACAAAGAAATGGAAAAACATTCCATGCTCTTGGATTGGAAGAACAAATGTTGTGAAAATGTCTGTGCTAACTAAAGCAATCCAAAACACAATCCCTATCAAAATACCATCCATTTTTTTTTTCCAAAGAAATAGAACAAATAATCCTAAAATTTGTATGGAACCAGAAAAGACCCTGAATAGCCAAAGGAATGTTGAAAAAGAAAGCCAAAGTTGGTGTCATCACAATTCCAGATTTCAAGCTCTGTTACAAAGTTGTCATCATCAAGATAGTATGGTACTGTCACAAAAACAGACATATAGATCAATGGAACAGAATAGAGAGCCCAGAAATAGACCTTCAACTCTGTGGTCAACTAATCTTTAACAAAGCAGGAAAGAATGTCCAATGGAAAAAAGACAGTCTCTTTAACAAATGGTGTTGGGAAAATTGGACAGCCACATGCAGAAGAGTGAAACTGGACCATTTCCTGACACCACACACAAAAATGGGCTCAAAATGGATGAAAGACTTCAATGTGAGACAGGAATCCATCCAAATCCTTGAGGAGAACACAGGCATCAACCTCTTGACCTCAGCCGCAGCAACTTATTTCTAGAAACATCATCAAAGGCAAGGGAACAAGGGCAAAAATGAACTACTGGGACTTCATCAAGATCAAAAGCTTTTGCACAGCAAAGGAAATAGTCAACAAAACCAAAAGAAAGCCAACAGAATGGGAGAAGATATTTGCAAATGACATATCAGATAAAGGGCTAGTATCCAAAATCTATAAAGAACTTACCAAACTCAACTCCCAAAGAACAAATAATCCAATCAAGAAATGAGCAGAAGACATGAACAGACATTTCTGCAAAGAAGACATCCAAATGGCCAACAGACACATGAAAAAGTGTTCCACATCACTCGGCATCAGGGAATACAAATCAAAACCACAATGCGATACCACCTCAAACCAGTCAGAATGGCTAAAATTAACAAATCAGGAAACAACAGATGTTGGTGATGATGCAGAGAAAGGGGAACACTCCTACACTATTGGTGGGAATGCAAGCTTGTGCAGCCACTCTGGAAAACAGTATGGAGGTTTCTCAAAAAGTTGAAAATAGAGCTTCCCTACAACCCAGCAATTGCAATACTGGGTAATTGCAATTACTGGGTCTAAAGACACAAATGTAGGGATCCGAAGGGGCACGTGCACCTGAATGTTTATAGCAGCAATGTCCACAATAGCCAAACTATGGAAAAAACCTAGATGTCCATCAACAGATGAATGGATAAAGAAGATGTGGTATATATATATACAATGGAATACTATGTACCTATCAAAAGAAATCTTGCCATTTGCAATGATGTGGATGGAAATAGAGGGCATTATGCTGAGTGAAATAAGTCAGTCAGAGAAAGACAATTATCATATGATCTCTCTGATATGAGGAATTTGAGAGGTGGGGTGGGGGATTATGGGGGGGTAAGGAAGGAAAAAATGAAACCAGATGGGATCAAGAGGGAGACAAACCATAAGAGAGTCTAAATCTCATGAAACAAACTGGAGGTTGCTGGGGGGTGGGAGGGTAGAGAGAGGGTGGCTGGATTATGGACATTGGGGAGGATATGTGCTATAGTGAGTGCTATGAAATGTGTAAGCCTGATGATTCATAGACCTGTACCCCTAGGGCAAATAATACATTATATGTTAATAAATAAAGGGAAAAAATTTGTAAGCCATTGGACAAAGGAGCAACATCTTTAAAAAATGTTGGAGAAATAAACTTGTCAATCTAGAATTGTATACCCAGCAAAATATTTTTTCAAAAATAAAAGTCATGTAGGCAAAGATGTGATAAAGTTGAAACTGTCATACATTGCTGGCAGTAATGTAAAATGGTACTGCTGCTATAGAAAACACTCTGGAAGTTCCTTCAAAAGTTAAACATAGAGTTGCCATAAGATGGAGCAAATTCCACTCTTAGGTATATAGCCAAGAGAATTAAAAACATATTCACACAAAAATTTGTATGTGATTATTCAGAGCACTCTTTTCCAAATAACCAAAAAGTAGAAACAACCCAAATGTCCATCAATTGATGAATGTATAAACAAACGCATATCAATAATGTTCTCATCATACCTTGCAAGTAGCATTCTTAGATTTTTAAGATATTATTTATTTATTTATTTATTTGGGGGTGGGTGGCCAGGGAACAGAGGGAGAGGGACATGCAGACTCCACGTTGAGCACAGAGGCTGATGCAGGGCTCAATCCCATGACCCTGAGATCATGACCTGAACTGAAATCAAGAGTCAGATAGATGCTCAACCAAATGATCCACCTAAGCGACCCTAGAAATACCTTTATTACAACTGTTCTTGTTCTCTACATGCATGGAAGAGTAGGTATAAATTCTAGTCACTGTTATTACACTGTTCTCTTACCAGCTAGCAGGTTGCCAGATCAAACTGTTGATACACACAGCAGTATGGATGAATCTCAAAAACATTATGCTAATTTAAAGAAGACAGATATAAGAAGACTTTATCCTATATGATTCCATTCATATGAAATTAGACAAAAGGCAAATATTATAGTGGTTGCAGCAGATTACTGAGTGCCAAGGGCCAAAGAGAGGTGGGTAGGGATTGACTGTTAGCAAGGCATAATGAATTTTTTTTTTAATCATGGAATGTTTCTAAGCCATGGTTATAGTAGTGATTACTCCAGCAAAGCTGACTTTAAAAAAAAAGAAAAATCAGGCAAGGGGCCTACTTCTTGTTCACCTTATTTTTGTCAAGATCTTTGTTCCTCAGGTCTACCCCATTGTATGACCTGGAACTCTCTCCCAACTATAGCTTTAGCCTTTTCTGTTTAGTGCCTTTATGGCCCATTTGCTGTTCTCTTAGGCTTTTTTGGCTTTTTCCTGCTAATGAGTGTTATTGAAACAAAGCTGTTCAGGGTCCCATTCCCTCTGAGCTGAGTTCTGTGTCTTCCAAAACAAAAGTTGAATGAATCCATGTTAATACATTAGAGGAAGACCTCGTCTTAACATGCAGAATAGTCATTAGTAATGTGACATGATTTTTAAGTCTAGAAAAGCTTCCCTTGTTAACAAACAAACAAAAAACCCAGCTTTCTCCTGACTCCATATAGAGCAGTGGAAAGAGGGTGTAAGGAATCTATATTTTTAAGTAATTCCACAGGTGACTTTACTGATCACTCAGACTTAGAAACCACTGGATAAGAGGTAGTGCTCACCCCATCTTTTAAAAGCAAAACAAAATACCTTTACTCAGACTTCACTAAGTTTTCATCAAATATCTTTGCAGCAGACTTTTTTTCATATGCTATTTATTATCTACGGTCTCTCATTACCTCAGTTGGTCTTTTCACTCTTCTAAAGAAAAAAAGGGTTTAGGGGACTACTTTCATTAAGAATCCACTATGTACAAGGTATTTGACAAGGGCTCACATTTAGTTCTCATAGATGATAAAAATGAGGTTTAAATGGTAAATAACTTGCCCAAGGATATAGCTAATAGGTTAGGGGAGTGAGTTTTGTATACTTGACTTTAAAACAAGTGTGTTTTCTTTTATGCTGTGCTGACTCCGGGCTGATGGAACAAATGAGGGGCTATCCTTATCATCTTCACTGGCCCATATGCTCCTAAATTCTCTGCTTCTCCATACCTGGACATAAGGAGAAAGAGATAAGTCACTAACACAGACCATATCTCTATTTTTTTTTAAAGATTTTATTTATTTATTTGACAGAGATCACAAGTAGGCAGAGAGGCAGGCAGAGAGAGATGGGGGGGGGGGGAAGCAGGCTCCCTGCTGAGCAGAGAACCTGATGCGGGGCTAGATTCCAGGATCCTGAGATCATGACCCGAGCCAAAGGCAGAGGCTTAACCCGCTGAGCCACCCGGGCGCCCCAAGTATATCTCTATTTTAAACAAGATCCTGACCATCTTTTCCCAATCAGGTTTTTCAGTTATTGAGTTACTTGCTTGCCTCACCCAGATGGAATCATTGGCTTTTTTTCACTAGTTGACTTATACCATAAGTTAATTAATAACATCTTTAACTTTGATCATTTATAAACTTCTAATATACAACAGCTTTGAGTTACTCAGAGAAACCTTATTTGTATTAGAAACTGCTCCCCAGTCAATGTCACAACCTCTATGACCTCAGTTTCCTCTTCTGTAAGGTGATGGGGTTGGAGTAGATTATTTCTGTTTCCTTTTGCCTCCTTTCATATAAGTCACTTATTTAGGACACATGACAGATTTGCACAAACATTAGAAGGGACATTGGATTTTTCAAGCTAGCTCATTAAACTTCTTGAATAAGTAACATACCTAAAATACAGAAATGCAGTTTGGAGGAAGAGACAAAGGACTCTGTTAGAGTCTGTGTTGCATGTCATTCTGCCTATGCTTACTTCTTGATTGCAATGAAGGCAGCATATCTGGTACTTTCTTGTCATTATGTTTTCATCCTCCTGGAGGGGTTGGGGGACAGATCAGGCCAAATCCATGGAGCAGTTTATAGCTTTCATATCAAATTTTAATCAAAAATTTTCTTGGCCAGGGTTTGAAACTTCTTTTGATAACTTTTAATACTTTGATAACTTTTAATAGTGGTAGCGCAATGAAAGCAGAAATTACTGATCTTCTGTGTCTATAGAAATAACTTTGAAAAAATATCTTCTAGGCAGCTGAGATTCTACTACAACATGGAGCAAACCCAAATCAAAGGAATCAAAAGCAGAAGACTGCTTTGGATGAAGCAGATGATGAAAAAATGAAAGAGCTGCTGAAATCTTACGGTGCAATTGAGACTGATAATAGCGATGAAAGTAATGTTATAGCCACTGGTATGTATGTCAGTATTGCTATTTTAGATAAGTGTATACCTCTGCTTAGAAAAATCTTCAGATTTCTAGTGTAAATTGTTACATAACTGGGGTAGATGTTTTGTATGTTTATTAAACTCTTGAGAAGCATTTAAAAATTATTTATTTTTAGAAATTAGCATTTCCAAATTGGTTTAATTTATATACCATATGATCCTGTTGGATTGGCATTACATGTTGAAATGGAATCCATATTATTCGTTAAACAATCATTAATCTCTAACATTGGGTCTGAGATAAAGATATAACTGAAGCCACACCTGTTGACTTATTGGTAGGGGGGTTGGAAAAGGTTGGCATTATACTAAAGTCTTTGCAACTAAGATTCCGTTACTTCAGAATTCGTAGTGAGTCATGTGAAAGGGACCAATGCCAATTTTTCAGTACTCTAATGTCCTAATGCTAGAGTATGAATTTGTTAAGCAAATATACTTGTATGCATGTGTGTATGTGTAAATATAGTGTAAAAAATATTTAAGGGAATTTACAGTGAAGCAAAATTTTATCAACCATTTTTAAGAAATAGTTTGCATTTAAATGATGTAATGTATTATCTGTAAGAAATAGGCATGTAGTGAACACTAATTTGAAAACATATATTTGTTAAGTACCTGCCAAGCAAATAGAGTACTTGCCTATGAGAAACTTACAGTCTTGTGGGGAGAACAACCAGAAAACAAACAGTTAAATGCAGTTTATTAAGTATTGAGAAGAGTGATTTTTTCTTCCTTTTCTGTCCTGCTTGAGCCTTGACTTATTTGAGAAACCCAGGAACATATCTCTGCCCTTTCTATGAGGCAGAGTAATTGGAAAGAGAGAACCCCTGTCATACCCTCTTCTCCCGGCCTACCACTATCTTTACCAGTTGTTGATTTTCAAGAGAGGAATCATGTTACTGATGTGATTGGTCAGACCCAAGGATAATCACTGTCTCATATTTTACTAGTGTGATAGATTATGTGTAGGTCAAGATCAAGACTGATACAAGGTTCATCTTTTCATTGCCTGCTACCATATAGAGTCCCAGCCATGTCTCTTTTCCTCTCCATAGCCATATTTGAAATTACTGGACACTGTGTTATGAAGTGCTGTATCTATTCACACTTGTCTGTTGTTTCTTATGTAGGCATTTCCTTGATCAGTTACCCTAAAAGGATGAGGGATGTAGGGTGCAGTAGTTATATGAAGAAAGGGAATCCAGAATGGGAAAAAGATCCGAGACAATGAATCATAGACACAGTTGATTAATAGCATGGATTTGGGAATCGGATCTGTTTTCAGTAAAAGCTGTGTAACGTTAAGGAAACTTCCTGAATCCCTCTAAGCTTCATTCTCCTCTTCTGTAAAATGGACAGAGTAAGCTACCTATCTTACAGGGCTCATATGACGATTAAATAAGATGGTTCAGGAAAAGAGTTTGCCATCCAGTGTGTGATCAGCATTCAGTAAATGTTAGCTGTAATCACTCAATTGATAATAATAATAGATAATGGGGTGCCTGGGTGGCTCAGTGGGTTAAAGCCTCTGCCTTTGGCTCTGGTCTTGATCTCAGGGTCCTGGGATCAAGCCCTGCGTTGGGCTCTCTGCTCAGCAGGGAGCCTGCTTCCCCCTCTTTCTCTGCCTGCCACTCTGCCTACTTGTCATCTGTGTCTGTCAAATAAATAAAGTATTTAAAAATAATAATAATAAATAATGAGATGCTGATCAACATTATTATAGTAATTGTAGATTTAATTTATTCTATTTCTGTAACCATTAAACTTGATAAAATGATGCTAAATATTTCACATTATTGTATTTTCTAATTTTAATTTTTAAAGTCAAAATTCCTGCTGTCCGACCAAAAAGACTTAAACGGTATTTTCCTGATGACTGCAAAACTGTTGATCTACCTTCTCTTTCACACAGAGAAAAAACAAGAGAAAACCATCCTGTGGTGAGTGAAGTTGAAATCCTTTCATTTTTCAGCTTGAAATATGTCATTCTTTGGGCCAGCCAGCCAGTGGCTATTGGCAGTACTCTTTACATTTTAAGAACACACAGGTTGAAAATATATATTTTTTAAGATTTTATTTATTTATTTGACAGAGAGAGAGAGAGCAGCGAGAGAGGGAACACAAGCACAGGCAGAGGGAGAGGGAGAGGGCTTCCCACAGAGCAGGGAGCTCAATGCAGAACTCAGTCCCAGGACCCTGGGATCATAACCTGAGCCAAAGGCAGATGCTTAATGACTGAGCCACACAGGCACCCCGAATGTAATTTTTGCACAAGAAAATAATATGGCTAATGAGCCAAGAAAATATGTTGTATAGTTAACTCACTTATCTGCTTTGAATACAGAATATGGATTAGTTGCTATTCTTTACAACTAGGTTGCGTTCTTTACTTCTTTTCCCGCTATCACAGTGTGTCTTCACCCACCCATTCCCACAAAAAGTCTAAGACGCGTAGTAGGTTGAAAAGACCCTGAACCCAGGCAGAGGAGAGAAAGGCAGCTGGGGTTAGCCAACCTGGAATCTCACGTGGGTTATAATGATAGTGTTTGCTGTATGTGAAACTCCTTGTATTAAAGTGTGTGTATACAAAAATAACATAGTAGTTGCTCAATAAAAAATATTACTTGTTAAGATAGATATGTGTAACTTGATAAAAATGTAGAGATTACTAGAAACTAACTTCTTGAGAAAATAGCATCCTCAATGAAATATTATTTTAAATAAGACTATGTATATTGAGGGGCACCTGGATGGCTTAGTCAGGTAAGCATCTGCCTTTGGGTCAGGTCATGATCGCAGGGTCCTGGGATTGAGCCTTACATCGGGCTCCACGCTCAGCAGGGAGCCTGCTTCCCTCTGCCTGGCGCACCCCCTGTTTGTGCTCTCTCCCTCTCTGTCAAATAAATAAATAAAATCTTAAAAAAAAAAAAAAAAGACTATGTATGTTGATTAGACTTCTCTTACATGCTTTCTGTTAACCATTGTAAAGAAGACATTGTGAGGGGCACCTGGATGGCTCCGTGGGTTAAACCTCTTCCTTTGGCTCGGGTCATGATCTCAGGGTCCTGGGATCAAGCCCCGAGTCGGCTTTCCACTCAGTGGGGAGCCTGCTTCCCCCCCTCTCCCCCCACCCGCCTGCCTTTCTGCCTACTTGTGGTCTTTGTCTGTCAAATAAATAAATAAAATCTTTAAAAAAAAATAGGAAATTTGGAATAAAATTAGAGTGAAGCTTCCCATAAGCACAGTATAAACTGTCTAAAGCTGCTTGTTCCAAAGACAGATCACAGGTTGGGTTTTTTTGGTGTTTCTTAAGATAAACAAGCAGTAATGGAGGATTAAGAAGGGGGATCTTAGAGGGAAGGTTATGCTGGCTCCTTCAGGGTGGGAAGTTTCAAGGAAAAGCTGCTGTGGAGTTGAAGGTTATTGCCTGTGGTAGCCAAGACTGAGTGCATCCACAATATGAGCAAAGCAAAAAAGGAAAATCAGCACCAAAAAACGTTTTCTTTATGCTGACCCGTGGATAGAGGCTTAGCTAGGGCTCAGATGCAGACCTTTAGTTTGCTTTTATAGCCATTCAATGTAAAAAGAGATAAATCTCATTTTGTTTGTTTTGCATATTTATGTTTTATAGTTCTGCTCTGATGCATTTCATAAATGATAGCAGTGAGATTGCTTTTCCACATAATTGGATGGTTTTATTATGTGCATTTTTCATGTCCCTGTAGGCACCGAAGTAAAATTTCAGAGCAGTGTACTCTAGAAAGTTTTGAGGACTGTCACATTGTTTAAATGAATATATATTAAGAATATATGAAAGGATAGGTAATATGAGTCAGTCCATCAGTTTTTGTTTATTGAGCACCAGCTATACATCCAACAGTGTGGAAACCAGTGACAAATATAAAAGCTTTGCTCCTGCCCTGTAAGATGTTATTTTCTTGATAGAGAAATATAATGTGTAAGACATTATATATATTAATGGTAAATTATACACCACCAAAATTCTTAACTGATTCTGAGAAAGGAGAAATCTGTATAAATTAGATTAGTCAGAGGTTTCATGTATGATAGGGGTTTTTTATAATAATAAGCAGTACTTACGAGCTCTCATGTTTTGCTGGCACTGCCCGAAGCGTTTTACATATGTTACTCTATTCAGGCAAATTGAGGACAAGTAACATATGGAGGCACCCAGCTAGGAAAAGATGAAGCCAGAATTCACATCCAGGCAGTCTAGTCCCAGCATCCACTTCATGATTACTTCTCTCATAAAAGAGATGCATCTGGGCAAAGTAAATTGAAGGCATTCCATGCAAGATAGTCAGTACTAACAAGGGCATGGAGAGGTGGCCTTAATTCCCATTTGTGAATTTTTGAGTGAGTTGTGTTTTGTATTTTTAAGATTATGTGTGAGATTTTAATAGTGTGCAGTGATAGTCATAAAGCCTTAAGGTGAATTTATTGCATATATGTGATCTTTAAATATTATGTGTTGAGTTGTTCTTTTATCACCTATAAATATGATTAAAACAGAAGTCAGTGAGAAATTACGAGTCTTTATATGGTTGCTACTCGTATCTTCTATTTACCAGGAATAGATCTGCTACATAAATCAAAATACTTAGGTTTACTTCCCCCCGCCCCCCGCCAATACGCAACAATTTATACAGTTAAGTTTGAACAAAGCATGAATACATTTCGAACAAAAGTAAAATGAGTATTCCAGCAACACTTTCTTTAGCACTTTTACTGCGCATTTGACAATTGTGTATCAGAGAGAAATATCTACCTTCCTGTAATAAAGTTTTAATATTTTTATCTGATAGCATCAGACCATCAGTGCCATTCTACAAGATATAGAAGAAAAACAAGAAAATTTACTAGAATTTGAAATAAGAACCCCTGAAGATGCAGGTAAATATGGACCCATACTCAAGTTTGATTATTTCATACATCCCAGGTCATTGCTCCCTCCACTTCTTAAGGTACAGGTTTATGTCAAAGCTTATTTATGGTGGCTGAAAAGTAACCTTTTTTTTTTTTTTTTTTTAAAGATTTTTTTTATTTATTTATTTGACAGAGAGAAATCACAAGTAGATGGAGAGGCAGGCAGAGAGAGAGAGAGAGAGGGAAGCAGGCTCCCTGTGGAGCAGAGAGCCCGATGCGGGACTCGATCCCAGGACCCTGAGATCATGACCTGAGCCGAAGGCAGCGGCTTAACCCACTGAGCCACCCAGGCGCCCCCCCTTTTTTTTTTTAATGTGATAATAAAGTACCAGGAATGAGCATTAGAAGTCATTTTTGCAAACCAGTAATTAGTGTAATTATTGATCAAAATACTTCTAGACTCAAGGTATAGCATAAGTAATATGAGAGACGCTCAGAACCATAATCGGAGGTAAGCTCCTACTGGTGATGTGTTTAGATGAATATGTGGGGGAAAAAAGCATAAGGTAGTGACTGGAGATGAGATTATGTTACTCCTTAGCTCCTCCAGCTTCACCCAGCTAATGGAACCCTTAAAAACAGATTAGAAAAGAAATAGGCAGTTGTGACTCAAGTAGGGAAGATCCTCATACCTTTCAGATGAACAGATAGACCAGGTAAACATGTTGCTGCATAGATGTCTTTCTATTTACAAAACACTAGTCATGCAAAGTCGTAAATTTGACTTTGATTCCTGACCTAATAATCTAAATTTCTCAAAATTCCAGTGACTGCTTGCAAATCTTTGATAGATCACGTTTGGGTTTTCTTGAGTTATAACTTACAAGGTAGAAATTAGCTCCTGAGGGGTGCCTGGGTAGCTCAGTGGTTTAAAGCTTCTGCCTTCAGCTCAGGTCATGATCTCAGGGTCCTGGGATCGAGTCCTACATCAGGTTCCCAGCTGAGTGGGGAGCCTGCTTCCTCCTCTCTCTCCGCCTGCCTCTCTGCCTACTTGTGGTCTCTGTCTGTCAAATAAATAAAATCTTTAAAAAAAAATTAAAAAAAAAAAGAAAAGAAATTAGCTCCTGATACATGCAGATCTGAATGTTAAGATTCATCTGAATGTTAAGATCTTTTTTACCTAAAGTAAAAAGTAATTTGAAGTATCTCATCAATCTTTTGTGTAACAGGATATACCTATTAGTTCATCTCTTATCCTAGTTCATACTGTATAATCTTCAAAAAATTACTTCAACAAAGAAGTCAAACTAACTCTCTTCACAGATGACATGATACTTTTTGTGGAAAACCCAAAAGACTCCACCCCTACGTTATTAGAACTCATATAGCAATTCAGTAATGTGGCAGGATACAAAATCAATGCACAGGAATGAGTTGCTTTCCTATACACTAATAACGTAACTGTAGAAAGAGAAATTAGGGAATCTATTCCATTTACAATAGCACCCAAAACTGTAAGATAACTTGGAATAAACCTGACCAAAGAGGTGAAGTGTCTATACTCTAGAAACTACAGAACACTTATGAAAGAAATTGAAGAAGACACAAAAAGATGGAAAAACATTCAATGCTCACGGATCGGAAGAATAACCATTATTAAATGTCTATACTGCCCAAAGCAATCTATACTTTCAACGCTGTCCTGATAAAAATACCAATGGCATTTTTCAAAGTGCTGGAAAAACAATCCTAAAATTTGTATGGACGAGAAAAGACCCGAATCACCAAGGAAATGTTGAAAAAGAAAAAGCTGGGGCATCACGTTGCCTGATTTCAAGCTATATTACAAAGCTGTGATCATGAGGACAGCATGGTATTGGCACAAGAATAGACACATAGGTCAATGGAACAGAATAGAGAGCCCAGATATGGACCCTCAACTCTGTGGTCAACTAATCTTCGACAAAGCAGGAAAAAATATCCAATGGAAAAAAGACAGTCTCTTCAATAAATGGTGCTGGAGAAATTGGACAGCTACATACAGAAGAATGAAACTCAACCATTTGCTTACACCATACACAAAGATAAACTCTCAATGGGTGAAAGTCCTCAATGTGAAACAGGAATCCATCAAAGTCCTAGAGGAGATCATAGGCAGTAACCTCTTTGACATTGGGCACAGCAGCTTCTTTCAAGACATGTCTCCAAAGGCAAGGGAAACAAAAGTGAAAATGAACCTTAGGGACTTCATCAAGATCAAAAGCTTCTGCACAGCAAAGGAAACAGTCAACAAAACAAAGAGGCAACCCACGGAATGGGAGAAGGTATTTGCAAATGACACCACAGACAAAGGGCTGATATCTGAGATCTATAAAGATCTTTTCAAACTCAGCATCCAAAAAACGAATAATCAGGTCAAAAAATGGGCAGATTTGAACAGACGCTTAGCCAAAGAAGACATATAGATGGCTAACAGACACATGAAATAGTGTTAATCATCGTTAGTTATCAGCGAAATCAAAACCACATTGAGATACCACCTTACACCAGTTAGAATGGCAAAAATCGACAAGGCAAGAAACAACAAATGTTGGAGAGGATGTGGAAAAAGGGGAACCTTCTTACACTGCTGATGGGAATGCAGGTTGGTGCAGCTACTTTGGAAAACAGTGTGGAGGTTCCTCAAAAAGTTAAAAAGAGAGCTACCCTACAACCCAGTAATTGCAGTACTTCATATTTACCCCAAAGATGCAAATGTAGTGAAAAGAAGGCCCACATGTACCCCAGCGTTCATAGCAGCAATGTCCACAATACCCAAACCATGGAAAGAGCCAAGATGCCATTCAACAGACAAATGGATAAAGATGTGATCCATATATACAATGGAATATTACTCAGCCATCAGAAAGAATGAATACCCAACTTTTGCATCAACATGGATGGGACTGGAAGAGATTATGTTAAGTGATATAAGTCAAGTGTAGAAAGTCAATTATCATATGGTTTCACTTATTTGTGGAACATAAGGAATAGCATGGAGGACATTAGGAGAGGAAGGGAAAAATGAAGGGGGGAATCAGAGAGGGAAAGGAACCATGAAAGACTGTGGACTCCGGGAAACAAACAGGGTTTTAGAGGGGAGGGAGGTAGGGGGATAGGGTAGCCAGGTGATGGGTATTAAGGAGGGTACATATTGCATGAGGAGCACTGAGTATTATATGCAAACAACGAATCATGGAATGCAACCTTAAAAACTAATGAAGTACAGTATGGTGACTAATATAACATAATAAAAATAAATAAATAAATAAATAAATAAATAAATAAAATAAGTGTTTCCTTTTAAATTATACCCATTTTACCTTTCATCTTGGTCTAATACATGGTACATGTTATGATTTGGGGAAAATAATACAAAATAATTTATACCCTCAAACAAATATGAATAGTTCATATATTTTATTTAGTATTTATAATGTCTTGTACACCTAAGGTGACTTTTCCAATTTTATAATTTTTTCTTTAAAACACATAAAAATACACTTCAAAAAAAAAAAAGATAAAAAAAAATGCTAAAATTACCTACTGTCCCACAACAATATTTGTTTCCTTTCTTTTTCTAAGAACTTAGGTATGCAGTTATACCTCAGTAAAATTATTTTTAAAATAGTTTGGATCATGCCAAATTCACCAATTTAACATTTTTTCCCTTATAGCCATTATTTGTGGTGGTTTACATAGTATTGTGTTCTATTAATGTTCCAGGGCTCAATTTTTCCCTTTTAGTTGAGCATTTACATTTTTCCAATTTTTTTGCTATTCTATAGCATATATCTTCCTTAGGTAATATTAACAGAATTGGAACTACTGGGTCAAAAATATGTAAACATTTTAAAATCTATTGCTTTATATAGATAAATTATTTCATTAAATATTAAATACTAATTTAATTTGCACTTTCACCAACACACATTAGTGTTTCTTTTCCTTTACCCTGCTAATAGCATCAGTATTTTCATTTAACTTAATTTGAATAGTTTAATAAGAAGAGTGCCTTTATTTTCACTTGCCTTATTATTAGTGGTATTTTTTCTTTAGTTTTATTTCCTGCTTTGTGAATTGACTGTTCCTCTTTGTCCATTAATAAATTGGAGCCATTTTATGTAATCAAGTTATTGACCCCTTTTCTGCCATAAATGCTGCAAATATGTTTTTCAACTACTTAACTGTCTTTATGTGTAATGTGTTAATTTATGCTTACGTACATATATTTTCAAATTCTATATAGTAAAATGTATCAGCCTTTTTCCTTTGCTATTTCTTTTCATGCTTTTAAGATTAGAAACTTTTCTCCTCTGCCCATCCCTATGCTTTATAATGTAATTTTATTCTTTTTCATCAGGATACCTTTATTTTCATCTCACTGCCCCTTTACAGTAGGAGAGGGATGCAATGGGACTCTAGAGTTCTTGACTAGTAACTAAATACTGACTGCTATTGACTCCATCAATCTTTGGCAAAAGATCCTCCTCCTGCTCCTCCTCCTCCTCCTCCTCCTCCTCCTCCTCCACCCATCCTTCCCCCTCCTCCTCCACCCATCCCTCCTCCTCCACCCATCCCTCCTCTTCCTCCTCCTCCTCCCCCTCCCCCTACTCTGTCTTCTTCTTCTTTGTTTTTTTTTTTTTTTTTTTGTATCCCACCCTATACAGACTCTTTCTCTGAAGGAGAAGCCATCATAGTCAGGATCACAGGCAGGCTTCACACCAAGTCCTCAGGATCCCAGCACTCTGAACTAGTGGTTAGAAGGGAGGACTGTTAATTTCTAGCAGCAGCTTTCCCTTTCTCCAGCTGTTCAAACGTCTTGCTCTACAGGGTCTCAACCTCTTGATGTTCAAGGAGGAAGCCAGATGTGAGTCCATCATCACCTCAAAAGAAAATTATTACTGTCTTCAACAATCCATTGAGAGACTGCCCACCCCACCCCCATTAGGCTTGAATAAAGGAGAGAAACCTTACCTCTCCCTTTAGCTGCTCATATTGGAGATTCCCATCCAGTCGAGCAATAGCTCTCTGAAGTATCTTTACAAATTCATCACCTCCATATTCTGAAACCTTCTATATCTTTGATCTGGCTGAGGGATCTGAAAATAATGAATCCCATTGTGTACATTTCTTTGTTAAGTTTTTTTATAGATGTCTTTCATTCACTTGGGTATCAGATATCTTTAGTGCCTCAACCAAACTGACCAGAAAAATGTTTACTTTGAACATTTCATATGTTATTTGTTAATTAAGTGTTTCAACTTTTATTCATTTGAAATCTCTTTCCACATATGGCACAAGATAAAGATAGAATAGAGTCTCCCATCCCCATATTACTGCTCTATTTGCCTCCACTATTTGTTGAATAATTTCTGTCATTCTCCTTTTGTTATAATGCCTTATTATCATATATTAAAATCTTACATATATTAGGGCAACTTCTAGGTTTTCACTAAGATACCACTGATTAATGTACCTGGCAAATAAGTATATAGTATCAAATTAATGTAAAATTCTTTATATCCTTTTTTATTTTTATTTTTTAAGAGATTTTTTTAAAAGATTTTATTTGTTTAGAGAGAGAGAGAGTGCAAGCACAAGCAGGCAAAGTGGCAGGCAGAGGCAGAGAGAGAAGCAGGCTCCCCGCTGAGCAAGGATCCCGATGCGATGCGGGACTCAATCCCAGGACCCTGAGATCATGACCTGAGCCGAAGGCAGTGGTTTAACGGACTGAGCCACCCAGGCGTCCCTATATCCTTTTTTATAGAAACATAGAGAATCTTCTATGTTACTATGATAATGTGAATTTTATCTGTGATTTAAAATTCAGTTAGAAAAACTCAATGTGACAGGGTACATAGTATGAACATCTTTTATTAAATAATGTCAAATCTGCCAAACAAATTTATATATAAATTTTTAATGATCATCCAGGTTTCCCCCCTTTTTTGGCACATGCATCATATAAAATTAATCCTCGATCATAGTAATAACAAGACAGAAACTACTATGGAAACACTGATTCTGTGCTAATCAAATCATTTGATTTGCAAAGGGAACAAATTCATGCTCTGAGCTTGATTTGATTTCCCACCACTTATTTTCTCTAAATTATATAGAAAACTATGCATTGGTTTAAAATAATTGGGAAAAAACTTAGAAACAAAGCCAAAAGTGAAATAAATAACAAGTAGCTTAAAGAAGTAAAATGTATTCATCTAAGCCTTTCCGTTTACTGCTTGGGAATCTGGATTTAATTGACATTTATGTGTAAATCTTGTGGATTTGTGATGGGTGAGGGAGGTAGTGACCATTACTTAGGAAGTAGTGGAAGAAAGTAAGAAAATTTTAAGTAATTATTATAGAAGTAATTTTATATACATCTTTAAGTAACCTTAGATATCATATAGTCCTAAGTGTTAAGAACAAGAACTGATAGCATCCTTCTTATTTTTAAGCACATATAATATTATAATTACATATAGTATAAATATATAGAATTATACATTAAATATATTAAAAACTTTGGCATGCACAAACAAAGACACTGCTACCAAAGTATTAATAGTCTCTTGTGGAGTGAAAAAGAGAAAAAGTGGGGGGGGGTATTATTCTTCTGTGTAAACATTCATATTGTTTGAATTTTTTTTTTTACAATGTGTTCCTTTTGTATTTTAAAAAGTAATTTTAACAAAATAGTTATTTTCCTATTTATCTTTCTTTACTAACCTTATTTCACAGATAAGTAAGAGGACCATAGAGGTCATGTGACTTGTCCAGGTTTGCAGAGCTTAGTGGAGTAGCAGCATTAGAATGCAGACTGGCCTGCTGTATTCAGGGTACTTCCATAGGATGGCATAATTCAATGGGCCTTGATTTATGTATCTGGGCCACTGATACTAGGGAGCAGGTAGGGAAATAATGGCTTTTTAAGAGTAACAATAAGGTTCAGTCCTGGGTGATCAAATTTAACATTTGCTATCTCTCAATTAACTGACTTTTTTTATTACTATGTTTCCAGAACAATACATTGAAAAGATGTTAGAGGTAAAAGAAATTATGGATAATGTGCTTGCCAAACAGAAGGCAGAAAGAGATGATCTGGCTAAAAAATACAGGTGAGTGAAAAAAATAGGAATGCTTTAGAGTTTTCATAATTTACCCCTTTTTAGTTACAAGAGTTAGATCTAGAATTTCTTAAGAGTACAATTGTTGCTTTGGACCAAAGAATGACTTTATGAGGTCATCTACTCTATTACCTCCATGGGTAATTGTACTTCCCAGAAATATATTTTTCTATTTTATTACTTGAAATATTCAGAAAAAGACATTTTAGTGTCTTAAAAAGTTGTCTACAGCCAAGAATTTTGTGAAAGTGTCTCTGGTCCTAAATCCCAAAATAAATTTCTTTCCATAGTGAACTCAGATTTTTTACATTACAAATTTTTCCTTTTGCTATCACAAATACTGTCTTTCTAAGCAGTGTAACCATGTATATTATTTAGTTTTGTGTATTTCTAAACTCTCAGAATTTTTAAGAGGCTTCATCATGATGATACTGGTTATATACCATTTTTTGTCCTTTTCTTGAGAAAAATGTATTACATGCAACTAATGAATCATTGTACACTACATCAAAAACTAATGATGTACACTCTATGCTGGCTAATTGAACATAATAATAAAAAAAGAGAAAGATGGGACACCTGGGTGGCTCAGTGGGTTAAGCCGCTGCCTTCAGGTCAGGTCATGGTCCCAGGGTCCTGGGATCAAGTCCGAGTCAGGCTCTCTGCTCAGTAGGAAGCCTGCTTCCCCCTCTTTCTCTCTGCCTGCCTCTCTGCCTACTTGTGATCTCTGTGTGTGTGTGTGTCAAATAAATAAATAAAATCTTTTAAAAAAATGTTCTATTTTTTTTTGTTTGGGCATTATTTTTATTAGTTTTTCATAGACTTAGCTATATATGCCTTTTTTTTTTTTTTTTTTTTTTGGTCATGATGTTTCTTAGCAACTTTCAAATATACAATAGAGTATTATTAACTATAGTCACCATGCTGTACATTCTATCCCCAGGACTTACCTAATTTATTACTGGGTGTTTGTACCTTTTGGCTCCCTTCACCCATTTTACCCAACCTCTACCTTCTACCTCTGGCAACCACCAATCTGTTCTCTGTATCTGTGTGTTCAGTTTTTGTGGTTTTTTAGATTCCACATATGAGTGAGACCATACAGTATTTGTTTTTCTTTTTCTGATTTATTTTACCTAATATGCCCTCAAGGTCTGTGCATGTTATCAAAAATGACAGGATTTCTTTCTTTTTTATGGCTGAATAATATTTTTCTGTGTGTGTGTGTGTGTGTGTGTAGTGTATACATTCCACATTTTCTTTATCCTTTTTTTTAAAAGATTTTATTTATTTATTTGACAGAGAGATAGACAGCAAGAGAGGGAACACAAGCGGCGGGGGGGGTGGTGTAAGAGGGAGGAGGCTTCTTGCTGAGCAGGGAGCCCAATGTGGGGCTCAATCCCAGGACTCTGGGATCATGACCTGAGCCGAAAGCAGATGCTTAACAACTGAGCCACACAGGCGTCCCTTTCTTTATCCTTTGATGGATATGTAGGTTGTTTCCATGTCACAGCTATTGTTAATAATGCTGCAGTGAAATATGACTTTGCAGGTATCTTTTGACTTTATTCTTTATTCACACGTGATCTTTCTAATTTCCTTTATGTTCTTGTAAACATTTGACATCTATTGCATATTCAGTTTTTTTCTGAACCTATTTAAAAGTCAGTTTTTTATTTTCATTTATAAGTCTTTTGTCTTCATTGTGCTTTTCTCTCCAGTGATAAGTATCATAAATTCTTGTCTGTTTCCTATTTTTCTGTCAGTATAATGCAAGTGAACTTATAAGACCTATAAGTGGGTAATTGACTGCAGGATATTTTCTAGGAGAATGGAGAAGGCTAGCTTCAATTTTTCTTTTAGGTCCTATGACTAACAATATACTGAGAATTTTGGAAAGTTCCCGATCAGTTGGGTTTGCAGGTGTGTAAATCCTTATTAATCTTGCTGTAAAACTTAAAATCTTGTAATCTAAAATGCACTTTTATTTTTCTGTCTGAACTTTGTTTTAAATGTGATATTACTAATTTTTTTCTTTCTCCTCAATCCAGCTTCTTGCATTTTATGCTACTAGTTGTTTGCTTATCTAACTTCTTCCTGCTTCTTCCACTTACATCTGCTACTCATTTTAACATCCGTTCTTCTTGGAAATCAGTACCAACAACTCCAGACTGTGATAGGTGAAACAGATATCTATACTATTGCTATCCTTAAAGTAGCTGCTTAAGGGCGATCCCTGAGGGTCCCTGAGACCATTTCAAGGGGTGCATGAAGTCAAAACTATTTTTATAATAAAACTAAGATGTTATTTGCCTTTTTGGCTCTCATTCTCTCATGAGTGTGTAATGGAATTTTCTGGAGGCCACATGAACTGTGATGGTATCATTACTCTAAAACTAATGGGATGTATGCTTGTATAATCTTGCGTTTTAAAAATTTGTTTTATTTTCCAAAACAGTAAATATTGATAGAAACACCCATATGAACAAAAGCCCTTTGGATTCCTCAATAATTTTTTTTCATCAAACAAGTGCCCTCTTTTATACCCTTCACCCATCTAGGCCACCCACCACCCACCTCCCTCCATCAACCTTCAGTTTGTTTTCTATTGTTAAGTCCCTTATGGCTTGTTTTCCTCTCTTCTTTTTTTGTTTTCCCTCCTACCATATGTTCATCTGTTTTCTTTCTTAAACTCCATATATGAGTGAGATCATATGGTACTTGTTTTTCTCTGACTGGATTATTTCACTCAGCATAATGCACTCTAGCTCCATCCATATCATTGCAAATGGCAAGATTTTATTCTTTTTTATGGCTGGGTAATATTCCACTGTATATACATACCACAACTTCTTTATCCATTCATCAGTCAGTGGACATTTGGGCTCTCTCCATAGTTTGGCTACTGTTGATAGGGTTCCTCAATAATTTTTAAGAGTATAAAAATGTCATAAAACCAAAAAGTTTGAGAACTACTGTAAACAAAAGAGTCTAGTATCCTGAAGGCCACTGTAGCATAAGTGGGTATAATCAGAAAAAAAAAGGTGTGTGGATCAGCCATTTTCTCCCAAAATCCAGCCCCTTATAGTCACACAGGATAATGTGTGACTATAAGTCCCTCTGGACCTGAAACTGCCTCAGTACATGTTTAAAGTATAATTGCAGTAATTACTTGATGGACTGACATTTCTCAGGTCTAGCCCAGGTTTGATTACTCACAGAACAGTCTCACTTCCCCTAAGGGAACTAAAGTAGAACTTATTCCCAAATGTTATTCCCAAAATAAACAGGTAAGCAAACTCCAAATTTAAAGAATGGTATTCCTCCTTGGCCATCAGTTGCTACCTTCCAACTAAACAATTCCAGTTTTGTTTCTTTTTCATAGTTGACTAACAACTGGTAAATAAAGTAAATGTGGATAACCAAACCATCACCTCAATGAAAAGGCAGTATTGTTCACCTTAAGAGTCATTTCCTCTCAGAGGAAATTAATTGCAAAAATAGACTCTTGTGTACTTTGGACTGATTAAATTTAAATGGAGACAAAGTATCTTTAAAATCTAAATGACTACTAAAAAAAAGTTTTCTACTGTTTTTGTATTTTTTCCTCTTTCTGTTTCTTTTTCTAGGGTGTCCATAGAATCATTTAAGCAAGGAGTCCTGAGAGAACAGCTGGCTAACTTGGCCACAAGACAGAAGAACCTTTTAGTTGTAGCAAAAAAACAGAAAAAAATTAGCCAGAAAATTCAAAACTATAAAAACATTACATCTTTGTCTGGTCCCAGTCTGAGGAAGCTGCCATCCAGCTCAGAAACCTCTAGTGAAAAGGACATCCAAGAGTTTACCGGCCTGGAAAATCCATTGCAGTCTCAGTCAGGTTCACTTTCTCCTGTAGGCCTTATTTGTGGAAGCATGCAGGAAACACAGTTGTCTCTGCAAATGTGGAAAGGCAGCCAAAATACCAACACCTGTGTAAACTCAGAAACAGTGAGAAGGGAAGAAATTTCTGGAAATGAACTGAATTCTAAACAACATGTGAGTGACTGTACCTTGGGTGGGTTATCAAAATCCAGACATTCAAATGGCAGTAAGAAGATTAAATTACCATCCCAACCTATTGCTTTTATTGCTCAAGCAGAACATTTGCAAAAAGAAAAAGAGTTTCTTACAGAAACTCTGGCCGAAGGGCATGAATCCTATAGTAGTCCTTCAGCAGTAACTGGTGTATTACATATTTCAGAGACTACAAGCATACTTGCCAAAAGTGATGCCCATCCATCGACTGTTATTTGTGATCAGGATTCTACCAGTTGTGATCCAAAAAGAGGAAAGAGGAAAAGAGCTTCCCAGCAACTACCTAGGGGAACATTAGAATCCTTGGCACATCAAGGGACTGATGTCTTAGGCAACAATACTGGGCATCAGATGAAATCATATCTTAAAAAATCAGCTTTTGGTGTTCCACATGCTAATGACAGTCAGAGCTCCTCTTCCTCTAGGTGTGGCCGTCAACGTACTATAAAAAAGCCTTTAAACTACAGCACAGCTCCTAGAAAGAAATGCATGCAGATAAAGGATCTGATATTACTCGGAAGAATTAATCCAGGAAATAACATTCTGGAATTCAAAACACAGGTATCCTATTTTTTTTTCCTCTAAAATCATGTAATATTTTTTTAAAAAGATTTTATTTATTTGACAGAGAGAAACACAGCGAGAGAGGGAACACAAACAGTGGGAGAGGGAGAGGGAGAGGGAGAAGCAGGCTTTGCACGCAGCAGGGAGCCTGACGCAAGGCTCAATCCCAGGACCCTGCGATCATGACCCAAGCCAAAGGCAGATGCCCAATGACTGAGCCACCCAGGCACCCTAAAATCATGTAATTTTATAAATAAGTTAATAAAGGTTGCTATCAAAAAGTGGGGCTCATGGGTGGCTCAGTGGGTTAAGCCTCTGCCTTCGGCTTGGGTCATGATCTCAGGGTCCTGGGATCGAGTCCCTCATTGGGCTCTCTGCTTGGCGGGGAGCCTGCTTCATCCTCTCTCTCTCTCTCTCTCTGCCTGTCTCTCTGCCTACTTGTGATCTCTCTCTGCCAAATAAATAAATAAAATCTTTTTTAAAAAGTGTAGGCCTTTAGCTCTAATTAGAGAAATAGGGTTTGGCTAGGCTTCTTGAATGAAAGGGTGTAACATTGTGTTCTTAGTGAAATCGTGCTGTTAGGATTGCTCTATACATTTTGGTCACAGCACCTTTGGGCTCTAAAGACAGAATTAGTCAATTATATTGCCTCAGGAAGGATTTAAGAACAACATAGCCATAACAAAGTGGAGCTATCTTTGGTTCCAGAGTTTAGGGAATTACTATATGTATACTGCTAAAGCTTCCCCTGATAAGGGGTAAGTATAAATTCTTCTTCCACAGGAGCTCAGTTTAGGAACAAGAAGTAACTTGGAGTTTGGATAAATCTGACTCAATTAAAACAATATCACACAATGCATAAAAATAGAAAAGGAAAGAAATTTTTCTACTAGAAATGCCTACAAAAGAGACTTCCTCTATCCTTTGGCCACATTCACTTTTAGAAAGAGGAATTCAGAGTGGCAGTGATTGCCAAGAATCCTCGAATGCTTCTTTGCTCAGGGAGCACCAGTTGAACAGAAATCAGTCCCGGGTAACTGGAATTTAATTTGAATGACCACTGTTTCCTGTCCTTCCATTTCTTGTTAATAAGGCTTTTCCTGATAGACTTTACCTTTAAGTTAGGAGCAAAAAAAATAATAATGATTTTAAAATTCCAAACTGTAGTGCAAAGACCAAGTTAGTAGCTTGATCTCAGGTCCCTTGATGTTCTATTTGCTTGTCTGTCAACGAATTTATTGCTAAGTAGTACCTACATCAGATTAGCCAAAGCAACTCAGATTTTAGTTAGTAAATTAGTTACATTAACTCAAATTTTGACAGCTGTAATAAAATTTCAATATAGCTTTTCATATTTCAGCTATTTATTAACAGCTTTACTGAGATATGATTAACATACACTACATGTATTTAAATTATGCAGTTTGACATATTTTGACACATGTATACACCTATGAAATCATGACCACAAACAAGGTAATGAACAAATCCATCACCCCAAAAGTATCTTTTTGCCCTTTTGTATGCCTCCTTCATACCCCTTTCTTCCCATGCTGAGCTCTAGACAATTACTGTTGTGCTTTTTGTCCCTCTACTTTAGCTTACATGTCTGAGAATCCTGTAAAAATGGTGTTACACCGTATGTATTCATTTTTATCTGGCTTCTTTTTCCGAACATAATTATTTGAGAATCATTGCTATTAGAGCAAGCGTAAGTAGTTAATTCCTTTTATATTGTTGTGTAGTATGTAGAACAAACTACAGCTTTTCATTTTATCTGTGATAGACATTTAGGTTGTTTCCAGTTGCTGACTATCACAAATAAAGCTACTTTGAACACTGGTGTACAAATTCTGGTATGACATAGGCTTTTGCTTTTCTTGGGTAAATTCTTAGGAGTGGAATGGCTGGATTAAATATGGTAAGTATACATTTAACTTTTTAAGAAAATGTCAAAGTTGTTTATGACATTTTACATTCCCATCAGCTGTGTGTGACTATTCTAGTTCCTCCACATTCCTTCTTAGCTAACACTTAGTATGATCAATCTGTTAATTTTAGCCATACTAACATGTAATGTAGATATATGTATGTAAAATGTATATATGATTAACAGTTTATCATTGTGGTTTTAATTTGCATAATGATTAGTTATGTTGAGCATCTTTTCGTGTCCTATTTGTCACCCATATTTATTCTTTGGTGAAGCTTCTTTTCAAATATTTGCCCATTTTTTAATTAGTTGCCTGTTCTCTTATTTTATTTTGAATTTGTTTTGATATATTTTGGACATAAGTCTTTTATCAAACATGCTTTGCACATATCTTCTCTTAGTCTATGGCTTGTCTTTTCATTCTCTTAAAATTGTCTTATAAAGAACAGAAGTTTAAAATTTTGATGTAGTCCAACTTAGCAATTTGCTCTTTTCTTTCACTGATTACGTTTTTAGTAGCATATCTAAGAGTTTCTTGTCTAACCCAAGGTCACAAAGATTTTCTCCTAGAATTTAGGTTTATGATCCATTAATTTTTGTATGTGGTACAAAGTAGGATCCCCATTCATATTTTTGAATTTGGATATTCAATTCTTCCAGCAACATGTGTTGAAAAAATTACCCTTTGTTAAATTGTCTTTGCACCCTTGTAGAAAATAATTTGTTTCATATATGTGCCTATTTCTGGATTCCCTATTCTGTTTAACTTATCTGTCTTACTGTGAATGCCATCTGGATTGTGTAGCTCTATAATAAGTGTTAGAATCAGTAACACTGATTGTATAGTTACTACACAGTAGTGTTGGGGCACTTGGGTGGGTGTTTCAGTTGGTTAAGCAAGTTGACTCTTGGTTTCAGCTCAGGTCATGATCTCAGAGTTGTGAGATTGAGCCCCATGTCAGGTTCCACACTCAGCATGGAGTTGACTTATCCCTCTCCCTTCTCTGGCCCTCTCCCCACTCATGCATGTGTACTCACTCTCTCAAATAAATTAAAAAATCTTTTTTAAGAAATCAGGTAGTGTTAGTCCTTCAATTTTGTTCTCCCTTTTCTACAGTGTTTTGGTTATTCTAGGTCATTTGCAATCCCATATGAACTTTAGAGTGAGTTTCTCAGTTTCTTTCTTTTTTTTTTTTAAAGGCAGTGCTATTGTTTTTAATGGTATTGAGTTGAATCTGTAATTTTGAGACAAATGACATTTTAGCAATATTAAGTTGTCTAAACCACAAACATGATATAGCTCTTGTTAATTTAGGTCTTCTCTTTTTTTCCCAGCAGTTGTAGGAGTCAATATACAGGTCTTTCACAACTTTAATCAGATTTATCTCTAAGCATTTCATGTTTTTGATGGTGTTATATATGACATTTTTAAAGTTTCAATTTATTGCTAATAGGTAGAAATACAGTTGTTTTTTGTATATTGAGATATTATCATACAACCTTGCTAAACTCACTTCATCCTATAAATTTTTGAAGATTTCATTGAATTTCTATATAGTTGAATATGTTGTCTATAAATAAAGACAGTTTTACTTCTTTCTTTCCATTGTGAATGCTTTTTATATCTTTTTTGTCTGGCTGCACTGGCTAAAACCTCCAGTACAGTGTTGAAATAAAATAATGTGTTCAAACTTCTATTTTTTTACCTAAGACTATGTTTCTTAGAAAAAATTTAGTCTTTCACTGTTAAATATAATGTTAGCTGTAGGTTTTCTCATAAATGCTCTTTATCAGGCCGAGCAAGTTCTTTCTTTTCCTAGTTTCTTGAATGTTTTTTTATCATGAAGGATATTAGATTTTGTCAAATGTTCTTTCTACATCTGTTGAGATGATCATGTGGATTTTGGTTTGTAGTCTGTTGATACAGTGTATAATACTATTTGATCTTTGGATATTAAACCAACCTTACATTCCTGGAAAAGCAGACAGATCATACTTGGTTATGGTATATAATTCTTTTTCTATGTTGCTAGATGTGGTTTTCTGGTAGGTTGTTGAGGATTTTTGCATCCATATTATTGAAGATATTGGTCTGTAGTTTTCTTGTATTTGTCTGGTTTCATATTAAGGTAATACTCATCTTACAAAAGTGTTTCTCTTTTTCTATCTTTTGGAATATTGGTAATAACAAAATATTGGTTTTAAGTCTTCTTTAAATATTTGATAATAATCATCAATGAAGCCATCTGTACCTGGGATTTATTTTTTTTTTTTTGTAGGTAGTTTTTTAGTGTTAATTTAATCTCTTTACTTACCTTTTTTTTTTTCAAATTATTTCTTCTTGAATCATTTTTGATAGTTTTTATCTTTTCTAGAAATTTGTCTATTTTGTCTTATTTATTGGCATAGAATTCTTGATACTTTCTATTATAATCCTTTTTATTTCACTAGGTTCAATAGCAGTGTACCAGTTTCATTATTGACCTCAGTAATTTGAGTCTCTTCATTTACTTTTCTTGGTCATTCTAGCTAAAGCTTTGTCAGATTTGTTAATATTTTCAAGGAAATCACTTCTGATTTTACTGATTTTATCTATTGTTTTTCTGTTGACTCTTTTATTTATTTCCACTCTAATACTTATTTTGTCCCTTCTGCCTACTTTGATTTAGTTTGCTGTTCTTTTTCCAGTGTCATCAGTATAAGTTTAGGTTAATGATTTGCGATTTTTCTTCTTTTTTGATATAGGCATTTACAGCTATAAATTTCCCTTTAACCCACTGCTTTTGCTACATCCCATAGTTCTTGGTATGTTGTATCTTCATTTTCATTCATCTCAAAGTTATTTTCTAAGTTGCCTTTTGATTACCTCTTTAACCCATTAGTAATTTAGGAGTATGTTGTTTGATTTCCACATAACTGTGAGTGTTCCATTTTTTATTATTAATTTCTAATCTCATTCTGTTACATTTAGAGAATATACTCAGTATTATTTCAGTCCTTTTAAATTTTCTGAGATTTATTTTATGGCTTAACTAGCTGATAGCCATCTTAAAAAAAACCTCCA